TAATTAACATTAGAAGCCAAATGACAGTGCGAGCTAAGAAAAGACCAGTCACCTTTTTGTCGCATAACGGTCCACCGAATCCGCTAGGACAGATGCATTTGGAGCAGTCACGAGGATGAGCGAATCCCTCATTCTGGCAATCAGGTTTATTATCGTTGCAGTTATCTGAAATAGTAGACTTTGCGTACACGGTGATGTACAAGCTTTTTTCAACATATTACTCACCAAGGCAATCGTACAACTTTATTCATCATAAGCAAGTCGTAAAACGAAATGATATCAGATCCAAGAGTCGAGGTGTAATTACCATCATTCGCAGTTATTATTCGTTCCTTTTTGTTGATGGCAGCGATAGAACTAAGAACTTTTTTTTCTTTCATTGTAAGAACCTCTCCAATGTGTTCTACCTATAGGACCCGTAGTGCATTATGCTTCCGTAGTCGTACGTTAGACCATAGTTGTTGTTGTCTTCCTTGTCCTGCTTCCCGAAGTCAGGAGTCCAGTCAGGCTTAAGTGGTCCACATTATTATCATAATATAATATGGGGTTGTCCCATTAGTTCGTAAACTTTTTCCCCCATTTTTGAATACGAATATGACTACGAGAAGCCTACTACGTGAAGAAACCTGTACCCGAATCATGCCCGCCCTAGCTGGTTTTTTCAGGTTCGGAACGGAAAAAGAAGAGAGCCATGTTTTACAGGTTTTTATTGATGAACTTCCACTGAGCCGCAAATCGTTCGAAGGTAGGAGTAATATTTGATTTGCGATACATCTCCCAGCAGGGTGAATAACGGTCGAGGATTTCCTCGACCATAGCTCTCTACCATGCGAGAGTAGTGCCGAGAGTGAACATCCGCGCGGAGAGCACAGACGGCACGCCCATGGCGAGTGTGAATGTCCGCGCGAGAGAGTGTAAGTGAACCAGCGGAAATCCCCAACGAGCTTTTGCCGTTTCCTCGAGCGATATTCCACCCTGGTTGATAGATGTTTGCTCTCATTTGGAGAACTGTAGAGGCTTGAGAAATCCTCATGAATTCACCAGTAATCACATGAATGCATTAGGAGTTTAGTCAACATCTTCTATCCTGTTCCATCCCCACGTGTGGCTGAATCGCCGCTACTGCAGATGAGACGTGATTGTTCTATGCTAACTATCTGCAAAAGCACTTGTGGGTATATGACTAGAACGAGGGGAAAAATTATCGAAATCAGCAATAGGCTTTGGTCCCCGTATGTCGAGCTCAAAGGAAACATCCTGCGGGCTATAAATATGATTCAGAGAAGGAGCTCAAAATCGACCTCACTGCGTTTTTCAGCTTTCTGGAAGCGCGGCATCACCCCTCACGGCAATTCGTTGGCAACAGGTCACTTATAGTGATGGCCCATACATTGAAGTTCGATAATGTTTTTGGTGAGACAATGTTGACTCAAAAAATGTTCGGAAGTGGCACGAAGACAACCTAATATTTTAATATTTTTAACAGTATTACAAACCTTACCTCGAATATTAGCATTGTTGACTGTGACGTACTCGTCGCGGTCATATCTTGCTTGAGTGTGGTAGAATCCAAGTGCATGACCGATTTCGTGAGCAGCAATCCCAACCTGCAGTATAATGGAAAACGTAATTTATATCAAAGTAAAACAAGGAAACTATCTGACTGTTGTATGCTACACTGCTATCCCAAGTTCTGTAGTTGTTCAGGGATATGAGCGTAAAATGAGAGAAGCTTCTCCAACTCATACCGATTCGCAGCCTTTGCCGAGTGTGAGGGACTGTGGACCCTCACCGTGCTTACCGACGTACGAAACACATCCTTTTCCGGGGGACACTTCTAAGTGTCCGGTGGCTGAAACATGAAATATCAAGGAAGTCGCTAGGATTTCAAATTCTTCAACGTTTCAATGAAAAGGACCAACGTGTTTATAATATACATTATCAAATAGTTACCTATTTCTTAATATTCCTAATAATAATTATAATATTACCATTCCATTAAAATAGTTAATTCCATAGCAGCTGATTTCTTGTATCAGGAATTGAATTCGTAGCTTGCTGTTGATTTAGCTCGATTTCACCAACCAGAAAGGTCTTTTAAGACATGGAACGATCTTTTACTATGACTTTCACATGCTATAGAGGTAAATATGATATGGAGCATAAAAATGATGTTAGTTGTTACTGGCAATCGTCTCAATGTAAAAAGGAGCGAAAGATTTGTTCCTTAAGTGCAGTTTTTATGGCCATTAAGTATTGTGAACATACAGCATTGACAAGTTGCATAGTAAAAGATCGTTTGAGGTTATACATTATTAACGGCGCGAAAAATTTGTCAAAATTAAATTATTGTCAATGGCACATGCCAGGGGACTACGGGCGCCTCGTAGGAAGCATTGCATTTGCACGACGAGGTGCGATGGTGTAGTGAGTGTTATGTGACCTCACATTGGTACACTGAGGTGAGGATTAGTGGCTCGTGTTGCTGGCATTTTGACTACTTGACCGGCATTCATAGATTGAAGTCAAATGGCACCGCCACCAGAATGGGCACCATATTCGCGACCAGGACCAAAGTTAAGCCTTATATGAGGGAGCCTTTTGCGAATATTGGTGAAAACAAGATGTTGCTCCGAATATTGTCATATGATTCAACCCTTAAAAACGAGCTGTATACGTGATTGAGGCGGTGGATAACAAAACAGAAAATTCTGACGTTAAGATTTTGAAATATCTTATTAAATTGAGCCTTCTTTAAAGCTACGAGTCAGGATTAGGCAACCAGCAGAAGTTCTTCCCAGGGTGCGATGGTGGGCTCCCCAAGCACTGAGGGCGCGACACTATCGCGACCAAAAGTGCGCGGCAATGGCGCTAAGGCCTGCATTGTGTGCTGCCGTGCTGCCAGCGTATCCACCACGGCATACGTGGTCTCTGCGTCCTCTCGCGTACGACGTACTATCTCGCGTTCTCCCTCTCCTCGCAGCGCTGTGTCTCTCCGTCGTACTACGGCCGGCCTCCTAGGGTTTTCTATGGTGCTTTTTGCTTTTTCTCCTCACTAATGTTCCTCATTGCACCCCTTGCCTAATGTTTGAACAAAATAAAGCATCAATTCAATCCCGACTCGTGCCTTTAACTCAGTAACCTACTATGCTCGTGAGAGGCAACTTGAAGACGAACTCCTAATCATTGTTCTCAAATATGAATATTCAACTTTACAGTACGCAATGGTATCCGTTTGAACTACTGTTAATGACCGAAAAGACGAATTTGGATAAAAATGCTGATCTATTAAGAAGTACGTGATTTGGCCCTCGTTCCTTCCACTAATAAGGCTCTTATCAATGACCAGACTTGTTTTGAGGATAAAGTCGTAGGGCCTCTTCTCAGTAACTGGACCTGTTTTGAGGTTAAGTCGTGGAACTCCTTCTTAAATAACTGGACCTGTTTCGAGACAATGGTATCCGTTTGAACTACTGTTAATGACCGAAAAGAAGAATTTGGATAAAAATGCTGATCCATTGAGAAGTACGTGATTTGGCCCTCGTTCCTTCCACTAATAAGGCTCTTATCAATAACTGGACTTGTTTTGAGGATAAAGTTAAAGGGCCTCTTCTCAGTAACTGGACCTGTTTTGAGGTTAAGGTCGTGGGGCTCCTTCTAAATAACTGGACCTGTTTCGAGGACGGGGCTGTGGCGCCGGATGTGCTCCACGGAAAGGAACATCGACTAAAGTGAAAATCATTACCCAGACGTACCACTTCTTTTCCTTGCAGAGCTCGTCTCCGTGCGGACGATCAGCGTGGCTTACTGATTACGAGCTATGACTCCTACCCATGACCCAATTTTTTGATGTTCGGTCAAATAATTTAAGTCAGTGGATGAATTTTTTATAATGACTTTCAGTTTATGCGTTTAAGCATCGATCAGACTAATTGCAGTGCTAGACAGAGCAGCAGCTGAGGTGATGCTTTTTCACGTCGCTGTGGCCGCATAGAGTCTATTCCAGTTATGTCAACCTCACAGTATGGAAGCAGCATATAAATATGAGAAGGGAGAGGCAGTCACATCGTTCAGCTCTGACAAGTGTTTCAACCCTGAGCCTTATCATTTTTTGAAATTTCCAGCTCTTCCGTGCAGTATGAGGCTTCTTACGCTTTCTGTTCTTGTGATTGCGTGTGTGGAAGCAGTGCCAAAGCAGCGCCGTTCTACTCCAGAGGAAAAATCTATTGAAAGGCTGAAAGTGAGAAGACGTTATTTAATAATTCTTCTTCTGAAGGTAAATTATAATTCAAATGCTTTAAGAGAGAAACTATCAATAAAATGCAACATAACATGGGACGCTCAATTGAGGAAATCAACGAGAACAGTGGAGTTGCAGGCGCATACCACGGAGATATTCTCTTCACTGGGTTGGTTGATGCAATTTTCTCAGGGCTTCTTTAGCAGAATTCATGATAATATTAAGGGATGAACTGGAAGAGGTGGGGACCCGTTCCAAAAGACAAGCAATGAGTAACCTCAAAAAGAGATGGCCAAATAAAACGGTCCCCTACATATTCTATTATATTGGTGAGCTTCTTTCAAGTTATCCTGCGCATACGAGTGAAGAGCTGACAAAACTCCCCTTTTCGCTACATTCAGATGAGAAAACCAAGGATGCCTTCAAGAAAGCAGCACAATTATGGATGAACAACACGTGCATTGACTTCAACGAACATCCACAATGGACGAAGAGGGGCGACCCCATTCCACGTAAGAAATATTCCAATATCTTTGTTCTTTACGAATCTCCCTCGTCTATGTATCACACAATCCACTAGCTGTCAGTGTAACCGTTCAACCGAACATCTGCCCTACCTTGAACTGACACGCTCTGATGATCTTAAGAAAATAACAAACTTGCTATGGATAGCTTTGAGTACATGGAGCGCTTCTCGAAAGGGCTCTTCGCATGTATGAGAGACGTGTATATGGAACTTGGGAATAAGTATAATTTTTTCTGAGCTGTTCTGTGAGTATAAAAAAGGAATAAAATATCGCCTAAGGGATCCATTCCGGCTGATGGGAAATTTTTGCATTTCATGTTACACCATTAACCTCTCTGAGTGGGTTATCCCAAAACTTGTGCGAAAAAATTGTGTGGGTGAACTGGCGCAGAACAAATCCAGAATGACATTATATCGCGCTGCCATCAAAAATCGATATCGCGTTTGTAATCAACACACTGGATTGCTCCTATAGGGAATGTCCCAGAGAAAACAAATAATTTGACCGAACATCAAAAAATTGGGTCATGGGTAGGAGTCATAGCTCGTAATCAGTAAGCCACGCTGATCGTCCGCACGGAGACGAGCTCTGCGAAGGAAAAGAAGTGGTACGTCTGGGTAATGATTTTCACTTTAGTCGATGTTCCTTTCCGTGGAGCACATCCGGCGCCACAGCCTCGTCCTCGAAACAGGTCCAGTTATTTAGAAGGAGCCCCACGACCTTAACCTCAAAACAGGTCCAGTTACTGAGAAGAGGCCCTTTAACTTTATCCTCAAAACAAGTCCAGTTATTGATAAGAGCCTTATTAGTGGAAGGAACGAGGGCCAAATCACGTACTTCTCAATGGATCAGCATTTTTATCCAAATTCTTCTTTTCGGTCATTAACAGTAGTTCAAACGGATACCATTGCGTACTGTAAAGTTGAATATTCATATTTGAGAACAATGATTAGGAGTTCGTCTTCAAGTCGCCTGTCACGAGCATAATGGGCTACTGAGTTGAAGAAGGCTCATTTTTAATAAGATATTTCGAAATCTTAACGTCAGAAATTTCTGTTTTGTTATCCAGGTCCATCCTCAATCACGTATACAGGCATGTGCCATTGACAATAATTCAATTTTGACAAATTTTTGCGCCGTTAATAATGTATAGCCACCAACGATCTTTTACTATGCAAGTTGTCAATGCTGTATGTTCACAATACTTAATGGCTATAAAAACTGAACTAAAGGAACAAAAATCTTACATTGAGAGGATCGCCAGTAACAACTAACATCATTTTTATTTTCCATATCATATTTACCTCTATAGCATGTGAAAGTCATAGTAAAAGATCGTTCCATGTCTTAAAAGACCTTCCTGGTTGGTGAAATCGAGCTAAATCAACAGCAAGCTATGAATTCAGTTCCACATACAAAAAATCCGCTGCTATGGAATTAACTATTTTAAAATTGGGTACTATTTGATAATGTATATTATAAACACGTTAGTCCTTTTCATTGAAACGTTGAAGAATTTGAAATCCTAGCGACGGTTCCTTGATATTTCATGTTTCAGCCACCGGACACTTAGTAAGTGTCCCCCGGAAAAGGATGTTTTTCGTACGTCGGTAAGCACGGTGAGGGTCCACAGAGCCTCATACTCGGCAAAGGCTGCGAATCGGTATGAGTTGGAGAAGCTTCTCTCATGTTACACTCATATCCCTGAACAACTACAGAACTTGGGATAGCAGTGTAGCATACAACAGTCAGATAGTTTCCTTGTTTTACTTTGATATAAATTACGTTTTCCATTATACTGCAGGTTGGGATTACTGCTCACGAAATCGGTCATGCACTTGGATTCTACCACACTCAAGCAAGATATGACCGCGACGAGTACGTCACAGTCAACAATGCTAATATTGAGGTAAGGTTTGTAATACTGTTAAAAATTATTAAAATATTAGGTTGTCTTCGTGCCACTTCCGAACATTTTTTGAGTCAACATTGTCTCACCAAAAACATTATCGAACTTCAATGTATGGGCCATCACTATAAGTGACCTGTTGCCAACGAATTGCCGTGAGAACTGATGCCGCGCTTCCAGAAAGCTGAAAAACGCCGTGAGGTCAATTTCGAGTTCCTTCTCTGTATCGTATTTTTTGCCCGCAGGATGGTTCCTTTGAAAGAAGAGTAGATGATTTTCGGAAGGAGGCTGACCATCGCTGCGCGAACGGATTTGGTGAGACTTCTCAACTAAGCCTCCGAAGCTGTGGCCGTGTCATTTTCCAAGCATGTGGTCTCTATTTGTCGTGGAGCAGACATACTTGATTGCGTTTTGTACGTATCACTTGCAGTTTTCTTAACACTTTCTGCGTTGATTACATGAGACCTGACCTGTTACAAGACCAAGGTTAGAACAAATTCCTATTGCCGATTCGAGAACAGCTCAACATACGTGGGCCAAAGCCTATTGCTGATTTTCATAATTTTTCCTCTCTCTTCTAGTCATCTAGCCAGAGGTGCTTTTGCAGGTAGTTAGCATAGAACAATCACTTCTCATCTGCAGTAGCGACGATTCAGCCACACGTGGGGATGGAACAGGATAGAAGGTGTTGACTAAACTCCTAATGCATTCGTGTGATTACTGGTAAATTCATGAGGATTTCTCAAGCCTCTACAGTTCTCCAAATGAGATCAAACCTCTATCAACCAGGGTGGAAATCGCTCAAGGAGCGGCAAGAGCTCACTCGGGATTTCCGCTGGTTCACTTACACTCTCCCGCGCGGATATTCACTCTTGCCACCCGCGAAGCGTCTGTGCTCTCTGCGCGTAAATCCACTCTCGAGACTACCTTCCACAATAGAGAGCCATGATAGAGGGATTCCTAAACTGTTATTCATCCTGCTATCACCCATGTACTTGGAATGCCTGAGTGTGGCAGTCACATAGCCAAATGACTCGTGCCGGTTGCCTTCAATGTGAGAGAACAGTAAGTCTAAGTCAGACATCGATGGCCTTCTCGGTATTTTTTCGAGCCTGTGTCTGCACAGCGTAGCAGGTTTCACGATTCGGGTACCGCACAGTGAACGGCGATTGGGAGCAGGGTGAATATCGCTTGAGGATTCCTCAACGGCACGTCGAGGATTCTCTGCCCGATCAGACACGATCTCTCGCGCGGACATTCACACTCGCCATGCGCGTGCCGTCTGTGCTCTCCGCGCGGATGTTCACTCTCGGCACTACTCTCGCATGGTAGAGAGCTATGGTCGAGGAAATCCTCGACCGTTATTCACCCTGCTGGGGGATGTATCGCAAATCAAATATTTCTCCTACCTTCGAACTATTCGCGGCTCAGTGGAACTTCATCAATAAAAACCTGTAAAACATGGCTCTCTTCTTTTTCCGTTCCGAACCTGAAAAAACCAGCTAGGGCGGACATGATTCGGGTACAGGTTTCTTCACGTAGTAGGCTTCTCGTAGTCATATTCGTATTCAAAAATGGTGCAATAAAGTTTATGAACTAATGGGACAACCCCATATTATATTATGATAATAATGTGGACCACTTAAGCCTGACTGGACTCCTGACTTCGGGAAGCAGGACAAGAAAGACAACAACAACTATGGTCTAACGTACGACTACGGAAGCATAATGCACTACGGGTCCTATAGGTAGAACACATTGGAGAGGTTCTTACAAATGAAAGTAAAAAAAAGTTCTTAGTTCTATCGCTGCCATCAACAAAAAGAACGAATAATAACTGCGAATGATGGTAATTACACCGCGACTCTTGGATCTGATATCATTTCGTTTTACGACTTGCTTATGATGAATAAGTTGTACGATTGCCTTGGTGAGTAATATGTTGAAAAAAGCTTGTATATCACCGTGTACGCAAAGTCTACTATTTCAGATAACTGCAACGATAATAAACCTGATTGCCAGAATGAGGGATTCGCTCATCCTCGTGACTGCTCCAAATGCATCTGTCCTAGCGGATTTGGTGGACCGTTATGCGACAAAAAGGTGACTGGTCTTTTCTTAGCTCGCATTTCGCTTCGAATGTTAATTAGCAAACAATAACTTAGCCGTCAAATTGCGGTGAAGAACTGGAGGCTACCGATAATTGGCAAACTCTACAAAGAACTCTAGAAGATGGGGAAGAGGGCGAGGAGCAGGACGAATACAAAAGATGTACCTATTGGATCAAGGTCCGTGACATTTTGAATTTCCCTTCGGTTGAGCTTGAAAAACAATTTTAAGGCACCGGATAATGTGGACAATGCGAAGATAGAAGTGAGAATTACGGAGCTCCCTGAGGAATTCAATAAAGATGGATGCATTTATGCTGGTGTTGAAATTAAAGCACATGAAGATAAACGTCTCACCGGTTACAGGTATAAAGTTACGGTATTACAACAAAATTTTTGATATTTACCCTGGAATACTTTCAGATTCTGTTCACAAAACGATATCGGCACTGAACTGTCTTCAAATTCGAAAATCGTTCCTGTGATAGTGTACAGTGGTAGCCGAAAAAAGGCATTCAGCGCGAAGTTGGACTATCGCTACACTTTGACGGAAAATTAGATGATCCAAGTAAATAAAATCTTCTGTCGAAACAGTGGACAAGAAACACCTACCGAAAGTTGTAGAGAAGCAAGACAGTTCCAAGAGAACACCCGTGCAAACATCACAAGAAGGTTAGGATTTATGAGCGGCTTTTTCCTTGCTATTTTTGCTGCGCAACTGGCTTGTAGGTGATGGGAGAATGCGGCCTCAATCAAACTGAGGAAGTTCCTTCCGTAGGTACTACGTACGCAGCTTCGGAGAAGCTGCCGCACTACTTACGCGCCTCCAAATGCGTCACTGTGACGCTAGGCGCTAAAATCTTGCTTCATCCTACGCCGAAAAGGACCACCGCCACCCACTAGCCGATATCATAGCTGCATCATGCTGTCGACCTGCTATGCTGTCTCGAGTCGAAGTTCTTTCTTCTCTGCGCTTCGCTTTATCTCCTTTTCGGCTTGAAGCCACGAAGAAGTCTAGAAATTAGGCAACGGAAGTCTAGGAAGGAAAAAATCCCCGAAGTCACTCGTCAGAGCCGGATTTTTGGCAGTGAGGTGCCCTGGTGAATAAATATTCTTGAGAATGCGATTCGCTAAGGTAGATTGTGCGAAATTCGCTTGATTGAGTCGCTGGCCATAATTGTGTGCCGAGAGATGGAAGGATTTTTCTGGATATCGCAGGTTATTGTCTCTAACAAAATAAATATGTGCAGTGAGAGGAACACCCGATTCTTTCTTTTGTCACTATAATGCGATAGTTGTTTTACAACCAACATTCAACATGTTTGCAAACCATTGCTGTGTCCAGGTGCTATAATGTGCGGAGACTCAAACGGCAGGTTTGCAATTGTTCACTCCATACATATTTTTCGGTCAGTTCGTCCCATACACCCAGGTCACATATGCTTGATTAGGTGGCTATTCATAAAATTGAGGCCTTGGACCGAGATTTGTTTTGAAAAATTGCATAGATGTGAAATCGGTTCATAGACCACTAGAGCAACTACCTCTGATCTCCAGGTCCGGATTATCATCAGCATAAGGAACCTTCCGTTTCGAGGGGTGTTGTATAAGCACTTACCGCGCGCCGCCCACGGTACCGATGCGCAGCAGACCGAGCCAAGGGCATGTTCACACAGCTACGTGTTCCATTGCTCGTAGTGGATCAGGTTTTGTGTTGTTGTCGTAACCTGTTCGGTTTACCCTAACGATAAGTTGAATCGGGTTGTGAGGAGAGTTCTCGCCTTTTCTGATGATATAGTTTCCAAGGCATTATTAATGAATTTTTCGGAGACTGCTGCATGTTGCATGTCACTGGGAAGTGCAACCGGCTTTTCCCTGTTTATTGTCAGCTTTACTCAAGAACCATTGCTTACCCTTTCCAGGGGCTTCAACACAACATGCTTACCAAGCCAAACCGTTCGATTTTCCTTCTCTAACACAAATTAGCACAGAAGGGGGAGGGGGAACCACTCACGAAAAATTTGCAGTGCACTGATTTTTTGGAGAGCCTGTGGGGTGGCGAGAGATGGTGAGGTGGTCGTTAGATATCGAACTTTGGTAAAAATTAGCTGAAATATTTGATAAGACTAAATGTGCTTAGAACTGTTGAGAAGGCCGCAAATAAATTTGGCATGACTGATTTGTGATTTCGTGTCTCATGAGATAGCTTGCAAAGTCCGCAAAAACCGCTTCTACCCTCTTCTATCCAATGAAAAGCAAGCCGTTTTTTGTTTGGATTGTAATATGCAATGTAGAGTGGATTTTTCTCAATAAACCATAGACTTCAAATGAGTAATTTGATGAGGAGTAGTGTCAACAAACCTTTGCAAAGGTGAAGCTGTATGAAGAGAAGGTTGTGCTGTGTCACGCGGTCTGCAGCAGACGCAGCTCCAACAGCACAGACTGAACCATTACAATGGGACAGTATTCTTCCGAAAAAGGGCCAACTTTTCTCCGCAATACACCTCAGTCGACGACTGCAGAACCGACCCTGCAAAACGTTAAGTAACTGAATTACTGATCTGTGCGGCAAATTCTTTACACAGGACCTCTTGCTC